TGCTGGTTGGATGTTGTGCGTTTCTTAGCACCAGGTCCTGTTTCTGGAGATGCTGGAAGCAGCTACGTGTCGTGATGAGCTTTATCTTATTGTGTGTGGGGAAAGATTCTCTAGGCAGTACTGGAAGACTTACTGCATTGGTGTTGGATTCAGAACCCACTTGGGTGATGAAATTGTCTTCTCAGCCTTAGTTTAAGTGTGTTTTAGAACAGCTACATTGATGCCAGTGCTTAAGCAACTATACAGAGGGAGTCATGGGCTTCATTGTGTTGCAGGGTGGTAATTCTGCACCAAAAGCCTTAGGCTGCATTTTCAACGTACTAACACTTAAAAACATTCTCCTTCTAGGATTACAAATCAAGTATTGCTGATATCAAGAGCTTGTTGAAAATTGAACCAAAGAACACAGCTGCACTGAGATTACTGCAAGAACTGAACAGAGCCTAGGGTAACCAAGCAACAAGGGAAGCGCTGTTTTCCACTGCAGAAGAAAGCTTTTTCCCTTCTGATGCTGTTACAGGGACCAATCTTAATGCAGGATCAGTATTGAAATCTTATCTTCCACTGCTGCTGAGATGTAACAGGTTCTGTGCCAGCACAATGAAGGTTAAGACACACAGTCTGTATCAAACTCTATTATCTGGCTCTAAGATCATTCAAAGTTTGAATGCCCCTCCCTGAGAGGCATAGAGGTTAACTTCCCTGGTTGAAGTCAACTTGCCTGTAATTATTTGCCTCAGGGACTCTTTCCATGTTGGCTAAGTTGCATGTGAAGTGGCTGTTCTCTTTCTGAAGAGCTACAGAAGTGTGTTTTTTGTTGTTGTTTGGGTGTTTTCTTTTGCCCTCATGCAGGTGACAGTTTTGCTGCATTTGTGCTGCTATTACTTATGTAAGGTTGCTGCAGGGACCGCTGCAGTTGCCTGAGCACCACGTACCATCCTTGTAACAAATGCACAGTTACTTGCACAGGGCTGAAATTGTTCCCTTTCCCACTTGATGCCTGCTGGCCCTCAGCTGAGTTTCTGCTGCTTAGTGTGGCTGGGCAGATGTTTACAGTAGCAGCTTTCTTTTATTTTTAATTATTCTGCACATTTAAGAAAACAGCAGCAAGTTAAGCCTGCCTTGTTACACTGTGCACTACTTTTTTCAGATTCTGGGTGCTTGGGAACTTTACAGTTGTTTTTTGTTGGTTTTTTTGTTTGTTTTTTAAAAACCACTTTAGCCTCTCTGTGCCTTTTGGAGCAGTTACTATAGGTTGTTACAGGGAGGAGGATATGCAGTCTGGCTTACTACTTCATTGCATGTTTATACTTTTTTGATTTTCTTCTTATTGATGGCACTGACTTAAAAGGGTAAGTAAAGTGATACTTGGAGTTACTCTGTGAGCCGTTCAACCCAGTTCTCATTAAAGCCATGTTTATTTTCACTTTAGAGCTGTGTTTTTCTCCCCTACGATGGATGGTATAGAGGAACTGGAACACTTTAACCACTTTACTTCATACTGTCCCCTTTTTGCCAGAGGAGTTAAAGCGCTGCTGTATAGCGCCTTGCTCTGTCAGGTGGTGACAATACATCGGAGCCTCTAACCATTGCTCAGCCTTGCACGCTGTGCACTGGTAGAGTGCTTTAACTAGTAAGTCAGGACAGTGGACAACACTAGACCTGAGCCAACTTACAGTACAAGACCAGGAGATAGAAAATAGCCCATTAGTCAGAGTTCAAATATCTGTTTCATATGTCTCCCAGCAGTCAGGGTTTCAGGCAGGTACCCCACCAAACTGAATTTAGAGAGCAGACAATCCCTCTAATGCCATTAAAAACAAAGACTTCTTATCTTAGTCTGACATTAAGTAGCTTTTTGTAGGTCCCAGAGCTGTACTCCATCAGCTGTAATGGGCCAGGGCTTGAAACAACTCCCTGAGGGGCACAAATTGCTCTGTTCAGTGCCACAGCTCCATTGATCCTGCAGCCAGCACTTGCCTAAGCTTTTAGCAGGTATGTGTGATGGATTTCAGGGTGGGGAGGCACAGGCCAGCAGAGGAAGGTCACAGAATACAGGAGGAAGACTGGCTTCACTTAAGAGCTATCCTTGTCAGAGCCCTGCTGATAGCGGCCCTGTAGAACTACACCACCTCTAAGCAGCAGCAGTGTGGTTTTGTTCCTTATCTCTCAGACTTTCCCCTGCAATACCAGCAGGTAGGAAAGATCAAGCACAGCAACAAGACACACTGCTTAAGCCCAGGGTCACTTCTGCTCCCATCTCTGTTCTGTTCCAGCACCGGTGCTGCTGTCAGTGCAGGACACTGCCCAGGCATGCTGGGGTAGTGCCATGCATATGGGCAGAGTGCTTGCCAGAGGCACACCTTCATCCAGCCCTTTCAAAAGCCACAGGAACTGTTCCAAACTAGAGGCTCTGGATTCACATTTGCATTGCTGCTCCTGCCTCGATTCCCTAAAGCCTCACGCTTCCCCGAGTTCAGCCAGGGAGCTACTCTGAAAACTTTCCAGTATCCTCCAGTATACATGGGGATCCATCTCCAACTTTACCTTTTCTGATAAAGATTTTAAAGATCCCAGTCTTTGTTCATGTCCTTAGGCTATTCTGGTGTCCCTGTGTTCCTTGGCCCCACTCTGCATTCCCTCTAGCTTTACAGCTCTCTTCTCAAGCCAAGACATCTAGCATTGCAGGTGGTGTCACTGGCACATCTGAACTGGCCCATTAACCTGAAAAAAGGTTGCAGAGAAGCTAGCCAACAGCAGAAAGGTTACCTGTACAGTTCCGTTCCAGCTTCTTACATGCATTACACTCATGCAGAAGCACATTTTTTCCTCTAGAGACTATGCATAAAAGCTTCCAGCCAGTTACACTTTGGGAGAAATAACAAAGGTCCGGTATATTAGGTGGATTAAAGTCCTTTATAAGCATCTCACTGAGGAGGAGATATCTAAATAGTGCACAGTTCAGGCTGAGGCATCCACTATGAGGAAAAGAAATATTTAAGAAGGTCAGAGGAAGAATTGGCAAAAAAAAAAAAAAAAGGCAAGAAAAAGGAATGTTGAAAAGCCCCAGGGAAGAGGTCCAGCTGAGCAGAACAGACACCATGCAGGAGCAAATGTGTAAGTGGTTTTATTAAAATGCTGGAAGGAAAATGAGAGGTAGGAGGGATGACTCAGCAGCCAGCTGAAGTGAGAGTATGATACAGCACAGAAGGAAGACTGAGGCAGCAACACCAGCACACAAGTTGGACAGAAAGAAGGTAGGTGGTGCTGGCGGAGGTGTGCTCCTGGCAGCTCAAGGAAGCAGTCAAGTAAGGTCAATACATCACCAGTCAAGTACCAAGGAGCCTCTAGGGACCAAAATTCTTTTCCTAAATAGGAAGAGCAGAGCATTAAGGCCAGGATGATGACAGCAACATGCTCTGGGAGAGGCCCAGAGAGCAGACCACAGTAATAACGGGTCCCAGCTACTCCTGCGAGCACGGAGTACCCCAGTGGGATGCAATGCGGTTATGAATGTTTGCAGGCCCATCAGCGACACCTTGAAACCACTGGTCAGGAACACACATTGGAGAAGCAGCTTTAAATTTACAGCTGCTCCACAATACCTTAAAAATCTGGGTCTTGTGCATGGCAGACACACGCACAGCGTAGTGACCAGCAGAAGACACTTGGTGCCAGTGCTCCTGCAGGCATACAAGGTCCCTCACAAAAGGGGAACCACAGGAAGATGATGCCTTTTAAAAGGAAGTTAAAAACAGATAGCTAGAAAGGATAAAATCCAGGCAGATGGTATGAACTGTGCTTAAAGCCACCCTCCTAGAGGGTCAGAGAGGCTGTTGTTTGGCAATTTGTTCATTTAATGTCATTAAGGGTCATTGTATGTCCCTTCCTGTCAGCTCCCGGGACGCCTGCCCCACCAGCATCACAAGCTTCAAACACTAATTACAGTAGCCTGACCGAAGTCCATCCCTCCACCTGCATGAAACAGAGAAAAAGTATTTGCTGTCCTTCTGCAAAGGGAACTAAACCCATGCTTTAGGGGTGGAAGCATCAGTTCTTTATTGGTGTCAGCTACAGGAACAAATAAAACTACAGAACCCAATCAATTCACTAAAAATGATGATTCATCAGCACTGATCATTTCCTGGGTGACTGAACCAGGCTGGGTTCCACACTACATTTCACAAGATGCTTTCAGTAGCAAGAAGAGAATTAACATGGGGATTTTTTTTACAGGTGCAGGAGGAAGCAATTCTGCAAGGTTTACAATACACAAAAAAAAATAGGATGGGGCATTGAAGAGAAGCCAGGGTCACTGTACAGGCACGATTCCAAAAGCACGGTGGGTTGCTGCTGCTGTTCTTCAAAGACAGTGTTCTTGGGGCACGCTCTCAGTCCTGAAGTCTACAAAAAAACCCAAAGAACCCACATATGCAGTTTTCAACTGCTAAAGGAACAATTTCATCCAGGCAAGAATTCACCTGAACTTGGATTAACACAGTTTCCTTGTGATCACAAGTCAAGAAAATATTATCTTCAAAGGGGTACGTGACAGTCTGAATTTCTTGGTCGTGGGTCTGTCCCACTCTCAACAGCAGGGCCAGCTCTCCTGATCAAGCCTACACCGGATCACCAACGTTTTACGGGTTCTGCAAGAAATCACTGGGAAATCCCAGGAAAGATTGTGCAGGTCCCCCCACTAGACCTAAAGAAAAGCAAGGTCCTTTCCTATCTTCCTTCCTGGTTGCACAGTCATTGCCCTCATGAACATAGAGAAGAAAACATGCAGAACCGTGTCTCCACAGTACAATTAAGTCAGGAAAATGGAGGATGTGATTTAAGAAGTGGAATATTACAGACAAAGATACTTACATTGCTCATCAAACCATACTTGGTCTGGACAAGAAGCCCAATTCCCAGTTTCAGAGTCAGAAACCAGAGACCATGAGCACACCATGCACACACCGACATCTGCAACAGCTCCCCACACCTACCCAAGGTCACTGCAGGAACGCCGCGCCGCTCTTGTGCGAGGTCTCGGTAGCCTGGTGCGCTTGGAGAACAGCCACTGCTTCCTCGATCTTACAACAGAGAGCATGGCGGGGGGAAGAAGTTGAGTTGCTCCAGCATAGGAGCACACCGTACAAGAAATGCAATATTTCAGGTCCTGTCCTCTGCACAGACCCCCTTCCAAAAGGTAAAGGACTTAATAATAATTATTAAAATCCAAGTCTGCTGCTTCTGCAGGAGACTGACCAGCTCACAGAACTCTTCTGTCTCTTCCCTAGGAAAATGCTGGGGCATATATCCTTTTCTATAGGATTCAGAATTGTCCAGAGAGAAATCAAACTTCTCTGTATGTGGAGCTGCCTGACACCACCCAGCAGAACCCAGGTTCCTTGAAAAAAGTGTCAGTGAGAGAGTAAAAGTGAGTCCTGCCTCCACAGAGCAACAAGGAGATGCAGTCAATTCACTGCAGCTGTGCTGGTGGGAACCAAAGCTAAACATTCACCAGGATTAAGGAGGAAACTGAAGAAATGCTGCCAAGAGCCAGCGTTTATCTGGTTTCTATTCACAGGAAAGAGCATTTCCCTATCTCCTCCCAGGGAGCGACACCCACCCTGCTTCC